CTCCAAAGTGTCTGGGGCTTAAGAACAAAGCCTTGAAAGGCCTCGGAGTGAGGAAAGCTTCAATTTTTAATGTATAACGCCATTAGCTGATAACTTGTGGAATCTGCGACCCCCGCGGAGGGGCATAAGTGTGGTAACAGAGACTGATGAAGTGACATATTTGTTCGTGTCGGGAACCATGAGAAAGGAGGTTATTACTGACACCGCCAGGCCCACCAGAAATATGCCCTAATAACCTTTGGGACGTTCCTTGGCGTGAGCAGATGAGTTTCGAGGATCTCTCTACATAAAATATATTAAAAATCAAAGCCTAATTCACCTTAATTAAAGATAATTAGTTTCACTTTGACTTCTTTTAAATATGAGCTATAGTCAATGCGCCGCGTACCGAAGGCTGCGTGCAATCATGATTAAATGGCACATTTCCCCTCCACGGCCCTGCGGATGAGCAGCTTTTACCGGCGGTGCTTCAAAGGTGCTGCCAAAGGGAGAGGAGCAAACGCAGCCTCTGAGAGGGGAAATGGCCTCTAACTAAAAGACGGGGGATCCAGAGCAGATGTAAGGAAGAAGTTGTGCAGCGAAGGCGGTGATGCACTGCACAGGCTGCCCACAGAGGCGGTGGTGCCCCATCCCTGCAGACAGCCAAGGCTGGACGGGCTCTGAGCACCTGGTGGAGCTGTGGGTGTCCCCGTTCAGTGCAGGGGAGTGGGACCAGATGGCCTTTCAGGGCCCCTTCCAACTCCAACGGTTCTATGATTCTCTCCATCCATCCACTCACTCCACGTTATTTATTTCGCTGCTGCACACGCTGCCCGCAGTGGCCTAAGAGCAATTGCAGGGAAACATGATACATGGAGGTCTCAACCCACGCAAACTGTACCTAAACTTACACTTTATTGCAGCTTAGTTCACAATCTTCACCTAATATAGGGTTACATCCCAGTGCAGCAAGCGGATAAATCATCCTGGAATATTACTGGGCTAAGTTTAGCTGTGAGTGGAGCATATGTGCTTCCGAGTCACTGAAGCAAAGGCCCATAAAATACACTAATTACTGGAAGTTATGGTCACTGAGTGATTGATAGCGCTCTGCAAGGCAACTTCCCCGTTTTCAGCTATTCTGACGGGCCTCCTCCACCACAGAGCAATTATTAATTCATGACCCAGCCCTCGGGCACTGCTACCTTCTACTTCTCATTCCGCTGCCACAAAAATGGTGATGTAGCTGGACACTGCCTTCCTTCTTCCCAATGGCCGCGTGAAGTCAGCAGGCTGGAAACTGAGCTAAGGACCACTGCTTGGAGAGAGGCTCAGAACAGCTCTGCGGGGGGAAACAGCAAAAAAAACCCAGCCCAGAACACCTAGGCCAGCTTTCTCCTAGGAGCAAGTTTCTGAATCGCATCATTCTGCACAGCTGAATGACACGTGTAAGGATTTATCTGTCTAAATCAGAAACACTCCACTACGCACATTCAAAATGCTGCAGAGTAATGTCCATTCATAAGGGAAATCTTGCAGAAGACCAAATCATGGTCTGCAGGACTTCCTGCTCACCGTCAGCTCACAATCGTGATCCTTCACCACCATCAGATCCGTGCTGATGACAGGTGGCTGATCACTCATCTCAGACTCTTTAGGAACAATCCCTCTGAAACCTCTGCTCCTTGACCAGATTACTTACAGATGCATCCTTATACCAATTTCCTGCAGTCAAACATCTTGAAGATTGAAGTGCTTTAAGAGAACCATCGTAAAGCAGAGCTGCTCCCCTTCTAGCACCCTCTTCAAACACGTTCCCCAACCTGTGTTCACACAGACTGCGTGCTCCTCTTGCACCTCCACCTGTGCTCCCAGCCCAAGTGTGCTGCAGGCTCCAGGAGTCTGTTGGTGCTGTAGGCAGACAGTGCCTTCCCCACTCCAAAGCTACACGTGTACCTGAAATACATGATGCGTGATTGCTGGGTACGTATCAGTGTTCCTACCTAAGGGAATGCTGAGATGCCATAAATCCGTAATATGACTGCTTGAAATATTGCTTAAAACAGCATCTTAACACAAATGTCACAAATAACCAGCAGCCCCTGAAAGCTCTTACAAGGCACTGTCAGTCAAACACACGGGTTCGTCTTCTGCTTCCAAAAACTGCTTGATCTGTGGCATAAGCAAATCACTTATTTCCTGCATTTAAATATAACTCTGGTTGTATTTGTAGTGAAAAGGAGCCCTGGGTCACCTGACAAAGACATGCAAGCCTACACTTTGCCTCAACAAACAGCTTGGATCATAACCTCACTTCCTCCCCCAGATTCCCTTCTACCACCGTATCTCACACTGCTCTGCAGGACACTGATCCTCCGTGCCCAGCGTCCAGCCAAGCCCTCCTCACAACTCTGTCACCACACACAGGCAACGGGAGGCAAGAAGGCTTACTAAAAGAAAAAGGATTCACCAGATAGCAGCCATAAGGCAGGATAAGGGTAATACTAGAAATATGAAGCAACCTCATCCATCCTCCTGATCAGGGCATCTTTTTTGGAAGGAGGCTGAATCAGTCACAGAACAAAAACAACACTCAGGTTCAGCCTGGAGTGTATTTTATGGCTGAGTGATAAACCCTCTGAAACACAGCTTTTATAATGAAAATGCTGACGCAGTCCTCAGTGCAGTGACAGCAGTGTCACTGGCTTAAATTGAACTTGCTTTGTCAATCCCAGAACACTTAAGTAAAACTAATCTAAAAACCTCACGGGAACACACAAACTGGTGGTGATGAAACATTTTTGAACAGGTCCACGGATCAGGTATTAAATTTAATTCTCTTTAAAGCAGTCCTGAAGAAAGAAATGCAAAGTGAAAATAAAAAGCTGCACGTGTTTGGACATCTTTTACTTCTAAAGGAACACAGATGCTCACTGCCTCCCAAAACTTCGGTCCTACCCACATCCTACTTCTCTGCTCCTGAGTTTTCCAAACCTTCAGAAGTAACAGTTTGGTTTCTCATTACACATAGCATTGCAGCAAAGACATTTAAGCCATTTCAAGGCTCAGCAGATGATTAAAGAAAATAAGCAGATTCAGGTCGCTGCTATTTTATACTATCATATGTTTTAAAAGCAAAACAAAACAAAGCAAACTCGCAGCCTTGCTGTCTTGCTTCCACGTGTCATTTCATCCCAATTAATGTGCTCTAAGTGCATTAACTTGAAGCTGTAGGGATTGGAGCACCGCACTACCAAGCGGATATGATTTTATAATCCTTCAGCAAATGCTAACTTCCCATTTTAACAGCTCCATCAACAAGAGCCGCAGCGTCTGCACTGCCAATCCCCATGTCAATACAGTGCTACTTTAATGACAGTGACCTTGTGTGGCTCTTGGAGCATCTTCTTCACCTTTTTTGCGACATTTTTCTAAGCCACTGTCCTTGCTTTCATCATTTAACACATCACTCAAACCACTTCAATACAAGAGTGATGGCGCTGAAGAGAGGTCTCGGAGGATCAGATGACACACCAATTAACAAAGCACACAGAACCAAATTGTTTGGTACATCTGGTTCGGGACACATCCAGGGAAAGTGAGAGAGGGGGAAACAAAAAAAAAAAAAAGAAGAAGTGGAGTAGGTTTGAAAGAGGAGAAAAATGTAAATGCAACGCGTTTCCCTAATGCTGCATAAGTTGCTGTGAAATTCATCCTTTAAATTAATCTCATGGCCATTAAGGTTGCCCAATAATAATCCCTAACTAAGATCCACAGTCTTGGTCTTTGTGCAGGACATTGGATTGCTGCTGCACACGGAAATACATTCAGCAATGCACTCAGCAAAGGAACCAGTAAAACCTGCTGCACGTCACCCGTGCATTTATATCACTCTATTCCACTGTGACTCAAAATGAACACTACAGTCAAGTATTAATGTAATACAATCTCATTTTAGCCCTTTGTTGCACAGATTCATTTACAGACAGCGTGAGTATGTTCTGCAGCTCTCAAAAATTGTGAGGACTCTCCAGTATCACAGTCCATTGAAATCTGCAGTAAAACAAATTAACAGCGCCGCATCCCCTGTGACACTTTCAAGTATGTCATTATCCTATATTCAGAGTTAACTTCAATCAGACTCGGAAGATTTACAAGACCTGAATGCAATGATTCAGCATTAAATATTTTCATTTTGGTTAAACCAAGCAGCAAGGAATGCATTGTTTGAAAACGTAACAATAGCCAGAGAGAACTTCTGGGCTGTAAGGTATGTGTTTGTCTACATGCCATGGGTCAGCACCAACACAACTCTGCCTCCATCTCATCTTCTGCTACAAACACACACTGCACTTCACCTTAATGATGCTACACTCAGCAGAAGGAAATGGCACCTGCTGTGTTTCTCAGTAACTGCACAGCACACTTTTGTCAGGCTGTACAAGAGACCACACAAGCCATCAGTGGTTGGAAAGAACTGCTTGTTGGGAAGGAGCAAAGAGAAGGATCTGTGCAAGCAACAGCCAGTGACAGCCATCATCCCAACGCTTCATTTTGATACGACCTTTTCCAGTTTGAAACTACCTTTGTAAGAAATCCTAAAAGCACTCGTGAATGGTTTAATTATGGATTAAACATTTTTCCATGGGCATCAATCAGCTCAAACCCTGAATCTGCACAACCCTATCTGAACCCTAACAGTGGGCCTCTCTGCCCTGCCTGATGAAGCTGAAATACAGAAATACTGTCACTGTTGGCTGAAAGGCCGCTTGCACTGGGCCTACTTTCCAGCCTCAAATGGAGATTTGGTGGAGGGCTCCGTGCTGCACATTTACAGAGGCTCCCTCCACCTTACTGAACTTGGTAAGAACAAATCCATTCTAAATGCAGACAGGCATCTTAGCAAAGGTTAAAAGCATGCATATATAGAAGAGTATACAAAGAACATATTAAAACAGTTTGATGTTAATTATCTTTTGATTCTCCCAAAGTGCACAAGTAGATGACAGACATTTTCATACCTCCATGAAGGAAATCCCTAAACTCCAGACGTCCGAATGAATCCCGTATTGTTCTCCTGAAATCCGTTCTGGCTGCAAAGAGATGGAAAGGAACATCATGAGCCCAGCAAACAAACAAGGGTCCTTCCACAAAAGGGCACACAAACCACCTGACGAAACGCCAAGAACTTAAAGCTTGTTATTACCTTGATTCTGCAAGAGCAAAGGGCTCGGTTATACTCAAACTTGTGGCCATGTGCTGCTATGCACCTTGTAGGGCTGGCCCTGGCTTTTGTTCTTGGGCTGTTTTAGCCAATAAAAAGCCATTGGAGGCCAAGTTGTAAGAGTCCATCAATGGTACACCCCTATCCGTGAGCCTGGACGCAGCAGTGAGGCAGGCTTACAGCAGGAAAACAGACTGGTCAGGCTGGGTTGGGCAATAGGTATGGCTTAAAAGGCAAAGTTATCGAAGTCAAAGTAATAAATGAAGTCACGTGGCAGACATTTCATTTTATAGATATTTAACTAATTTCACTTTTGATCCGTAAAAAAAAAAAACACCTTCACTCAAAGCTATTAGTAACAAATTTAATGCTTCATGAAATAGAAGGCTGCAAGACATAACTGCTAGTTTTTACTTGAAAGCCACAATTTCAGCATTTCCAAGGTCAAGTGCAGCAGGAAATGTAACAATAAAAGGCTCCATGAGACTTCTCTCCCCACTGTGCTGCTAATGCACCTGTCTAGCCCCACCATCTACAAAGCACCGGCTGTATTTTTAGTTCTCAATAATCCAGAGACCTTTTTTAGAAAACCAACTCCCAAATTAGTGCCAGTCCAACATGTTTTCTGATGTTTGCTCTGCACCACTAATCCCAGGTCAAGAGCTTTTACTGCAATGTGAACATTAAGTAAAAAACAGCATTGCCCACGCTGCCTTCAAGGGGAGCCTTCCAAAACTGCCATCATCTGAAAATAAAGAGAAACTACAACAAAAGGCTTTTGATTGAGCCACCAAAAATTGTCTTTTTGTTCATTTGTTTTTGGTGGTTTTAATTAATTTTGGTTTGCTTGTTTCTTTTCTTTTTTTTTGAGAGGAAGAGTTTAATTTAATTTTATTTAATTTTAATTTTTTTTCATTAAAGGACATCACAGTGAGAAAATATAAAGAGTTTAGTGACATGAATTTCTCTTCTAAAAGTCTGGAGCAGAAGACAGAAACAAGAATGACACACGGAAAAAGTAAGGTGTGCAACACACAGCTCACCCTAATGATACACCTTTATTCTAAAGACTTCTATCTCTGGTTACCTGGTTACCTTTTTCACCTAAGAAGTTCATTGTTTTTTTTTTTTCCCTGTGCATAGTAGGAGATATAATAATTATATATATATATATATTTTTTTTTTTTTTCAGAAAATGCATTTCTATTTTAAACACAGTTTAAATTTTTGATGGTTTCAAATTCACTCCTGATGAGCACGCTGTGAATTTGATGACAAAAATTTCATTAGCAAAACAACTTTAACACGGGCAGTCAGATCAAAAACACTTGAGCCTAAACTTCTTTCTCAATCAATATTAGAATGCATCACAGTCATCCAGAAAGAAGAAGAAAAAACGTAACCTATTCAGTGTACACCTGGGAAAGAGAACAGTAATCTGGATTAGTACAGCAAAAGCATAATGCAATTTAATTATTAGATCTGCTAAAGACCACTCTAAAAGCAAGAGACCAGTTGCAGAAGTTAATACTTCAATGCTTGTCAGAATGACAATGGTGCAGCTGTTTTAGAGAGCAGAGGCACGGACACCAGCAGGCTCACTGTGGTATATATGACCAGATTCTTTATTTAAAATAATTTTGATGCATGTAATATTCCGGTGACAAAGGACAACGCAAGTCCTTCTAGGATGGTGGCACGAGTGTTTCACAAGCCACATAATGACTACACCTTGACTAGAAAAGCACTTAGCAAATAAATGGGCACCCAGGGCTGCTTTCTCCTTACAAGAAAGTAAGGAAAAATACCTGAAAGCGATGAAAGGTCATGGATTTCTCTCTCCACTTTTCTGAGGTTTGAAAAACAAGAATCAACCATTCTGTACTGCTGTCTGCACTTTGGTGCTGCGGGCTTTTTTGTTTGCTTGCTGTTAAACAAGCTGAACGCTGATTTTTTCCCCCATTCATACCGTGACAGAAGTAGTTGGCAAATAAGAAATTGTAATGACCAAAAATAAAAGACAACAGTTACTGCAATCCTAAACTGAAGCATTTAAGTTCTCACATTTGTTAAACAAAGAGCACTGATGAACAGAAAGCAAAAGCTCGTGTTTGTGCAGTGAGCATCCCCTGGACTAAAATGCTTGTAGAGAAGTGAAAGGCCCTGATGTCTTCTGACACATGGTAGGAACACCACCCAACACGCAGGACAGTGGCCTGGTATTATCAGCCCAGGTATGCAAACTTCAAATTTGCACATGGCAGCTTCCCATGGGAAGCACCCACACAGGTGTGCAGGTATCAGAGATGCCCATGAGACTGACTCACATCTGAATGCTCAGCACAGCGGGCCCCATTCTCTGCACAGCAACACCATCAGTGCTCTGCAAGGACCTATGGGCTCCCGAGGGAAAGCTGCATCTATTTATTTCTCAGTGTTGGACTGGCTCTCCTCTTTGTTCCCAGCTGTTGCAGTGCATGAAAGACAACCAGAAGGCACACGCAGAGCAGAATGCTCTTCTGATGCTATTCTCCATACCAGCAAGGCCTGCCGTTGTCACTGAGCTGCTACGTGAGCACAGAGATGTTCTGTGACACACCATCATCACACCAGGCAGGGGAGAGGAGGTCTGAGAGCCGATCTAGAATATATCCTCACCACGTAGCACAGGACTGTGAACAAATACTTGTATTTAAATGTTATTCCTACATAAATCCACTTACCGCCATGTAAGCATTTGTTCCGACATACGTCTTGGCTATAGAATTCACCAGCTATCAGACAAAACAGTCTGTTAGAACAATATAAAGATAATGTGGAAATAAAATGGGCAATTATTCCTCATTTAACCTACAATCATCATTCCTATAAATCAACTAAAAATTATGTAAAAGGGAACAAATTTATCCGCAAAGGCATTAAAAATGATTAAATCTCTCTTTTGTTTGGAGCTCCCATTTAAACAAGTGCCGCATTACCGTTTATGGCAGATAACCTTAAACCATTCCGTTAAACAGGATGCTTATCGCTTTAGTACCCCACACCAGTCTGATATAAAAAGTCAATTTGACGTAGGATTGAAGGCGCTCGTTTTTCAGTCAGCTGGCTCAAGATGTGCATAAAGCCACATTCATCACTTGAATGCAACCAGCACTAAATACGCTCGGAGGGACAACAGACCCTGACAACTTATCATACCGGGCTGACCTTCTCTTTGGTCCCGGCACTTGGCTGAGAGTAAAGGTGCTGAAATTCAAATCACCAGCACGGCAAGCTCGTGGGTCACTAGCAGAGAAGTCCTCCAGGGAGGCCCAAAATGGAAATTAATTAAAATTTGTGCTGCACATTGTAAAAGCCCACCACTATTGTTACTCCCAATATTAATTTTTATTGTGGGCCAGTTGGGCTCCCCAGACACATCTCTCGTTCTGCCCTCCCTTTTGTCTGGCCAAAAAGCTTTCATATCAAAGCTGCATATCAATGAAGTTTGCTATTCGTAAGTAGTAATTACAATATCAGCAGTTTTTACTGTCATTAAACAATGAACAATCATATTCAGATGGAGAAAAGTCGCCCGGAGATTCGAGCTGAATGGCTGGCTCCCAGCAGAGGGGGGCTGCCCGCCCAGCAGCCAGGTGACTGCAGCATGAGACGTGCGATGGATTACCTGGGTGCTCACCCCGAAGTCGCACAGCTTCACCTGCCCTCGTGTGTTCACCAGCATGTTGGACGGCTTCACGTCTGCCAAACAAAACCAGAGGTCACCCGGGTTATCCTGGAGGCGTACAGAGATGGTTATGATTCTAACACAAGCGTTGGTGTGACGGTCACTGGCGTGATGGACTTTAATAGAAAATATTTCAAAGGTATGTTTCAACTGCAACCTCTGGTTCGTAGCTGTCATCAGCACAGGTGACGTTACACCTGTCCCCCAAAGACCAGCAATCCGTGCTATTGAAGCTGCAGGTGACACCAGCTGGGAAGGGGCCACCAGAGCTCTGCAGGATGGGATCTGGAATTCAAAGCAATCCTGACAAATGAGACTGAAAAAATATGCTGAAATTCAATAGGGACAAGCGGAAGCACTACGTTTAGACAAGGATTAATCAAAACAATCCACTGCCTGAGCTGGGATGGGGCTGCAGGAGAAGACGATGCAAGGGAGAAAATCAAACACTAAAAATCCCATAGAGATACAGGAACAGATGTATGCCATAAAACCAGACTGTAAGTGCAATGCTCCCATCACTGACCCCCTCTGATGTACAAGAAGTTCTGTTGCACACTGTAAAATCAACGTGCAAATAAAGCACTAAGCACCAAGCCAAGCTACACCACGAGAACAGCAGCATGCATGGTATGGCCAGGCTTACACAAGGGAACATGAGAGCTCAGCCTAATCGCTGCCTTCTTCTGTCATTATGGGTTAAATGCAGCCACTCATCTCCCTGCTTTCTTTAAAAGGGAACACTAGTTGGGTGCAGATGGATGAAACCCAACTAGGAAAGAACCTAATTTGGTTTATCATTAAGTTTGCCTTTCTTTAGCAGATGTCTTCTGGTACCACAGTAGCTCGCTTAATTTGTCCCCGTAATGTAAAAATGTATAACCTCAATTAGCAAGCTGATTAAACGCTTCCCTATATTTGAGCTAAAAAAACACTTTAAAAAGGGGGAGCATTCAATAACACTTTATACAGCTTCACAGGATCTGCACGTTTAATTTCAGTACCAATACTCGTAGCACATTTTGCAATTTCCTCCCAAAGCCAAAAGGAGAAATCAGTGCCGGGTGCCTCCGCCGCACGGCAGCATGCACAGCTTTGGGTGTGCTGACCTCTGCTTCAACTGCAGCACTGCCACCCATGCACCAGTCTTCAGCAGGTGATTACCTGCCCTCCAGCTGCAGGTGATGAGGCAAAATGCTGCTACAGAGCAATCCACAGCCCCAAACTGCTGCACATGTACCAACGTTTTAGGAATATTCTTTCTAACCGAGGCTTCAAGAAGACTCTCACATTTCTTATGGCAACCTCCAGGCAACGTGCCTGCCGAGCGGCTTTGCTGAGTGCCGTGGGATGGGCACAGCACACCAGTGTGCCCCCTGCTCATCCTGAGCACTGCAAGGTGTGCAGCCATCCCACCCGACCTTCCCAAGGACACAGCATCACTTTCTGACAGCACAGCGCTCCTCTGGCTCCGCTCAGCGCAGGTCTGGGCAGACAGAAGGATGCTCACAGCATGAAATGCCACGACCCCACTGCAGGTTTGCTTCTGCAAGGGCTCGGCTGGGTGTGAGAGGAGGCAGGGTGTTCTCCCACTTCTCATTCCCTTAACACGACCTGACCAGAGGAAACCACTGAGCACGTGCGTCCCCTGCCCCACAGCCAGCACCTGGTGACACGGGGGATCAGCAGATCCCACCTCCCCACCCCCGACACGTGGCACCTGACAGTAAGTCGATATAATTTTAATTGAATGGCCATCTGTCATTCATTAAGCGTCGCTTGATCCGAAAATCCTTCCACTCACTAAAAATAAATATACCAAAACAACAATAAAAAAATCCTAAAAGAGAAAGAAGCAATGGGGAAATCGGTCCGTTAGGGATGAACGAAGGCAGTGCAGGTCAGGACCTGCAGAGCAATCTGCAGCCAAACAAGCACTGCTGAGGACAAACCCTGTTGGTCTTTGCAGCACAGTTTATGTAGCGCTACAAATGGAGAATGTGAGCAAATATTTACTACAAATTCCAACGGTTGTGTTGGTTTCTTTGAGAAAAAAGAAAAAGGAAATGACAACCCGAGACAAAAATGCCACTTTGTAAAGTAACTCACATTGAAGGGAAGGAGGAAGAATAATCACCCCATCAGTAAATTGGCCTTTATGTTGATAAACCACTTCAGCTAATGGGTTAAATATTTTTTGGTTTTGGAAAACAAATGTGCATAAATAATGTTCTGCACCATCTGCTTGTGATTAATATTACTGTTTAGAAGTGAAAGAATTTAAACAAGAGCCAAAAGGGGTCATTATGCTGCCATTACCAGTGCTTGCTTCATACAAATGACTTCTACGAAGCATCATTATAGAGGATGAACAAGTTCTCTTTGTGATCTCAGTCGTTTCACCTCTGCAGATAAATGGGACCTCCAAGCTCTTACTTACCAGTAAACACAAGCGTCAGAGCTTCAGCTTTGCCAACACCCGACATTTCACTCATCTTGGTTCATTGAAAAGAAAACGGATTTATGATTGTAGGAAAAAAAAAAAAAACACCCCACAGGTTTCTAAAAGCTGTCTCTTGACTTTCAGCATTTTCCTCACGTCAGGCTGCAATATGCCAGGTTCAAGGGAGACCAGACACAAAAGCCATCTTAGCCGAGGACAGCTCACAGAACATTACTGTGAACAAAGTGAAGCTGCTGGAAGAATGAAAATATTTCCAACATTTTCTTGCCAGATGACCTCTGCAGCACTTTTTGCTGTGATTTTTATTTTTCTGAACTAAGCCCAAGCAACGTGTAGGCGTGCAGATATGGGTACAGCCCCGCCTGCACACGGTCTTACATGCACACACGAGTGCCCCACTACCTTTGCTTGTGCTTCTTTACATGCGATGCTAAAGCTGATCAGTTCTCACCAACGTGGGCTCAACCCCAGGCATCACAAACCAGAACACACTTCCATCTACTCTGACACACTCAGAATACACTCAGAGGCTGTGGTCCCAAGACCAGTGCAATATATGCCAGTCCACATATGTGCCTACAAATGCCTGTTGGTACAATTAAACACAAGTGGGTAACACTTATTTCAAACATCTCTTTTAATAAGAAGGTGAGAGAAAAACACACCAGATAAAATGCATACGGCCTATACTTATTCTTGAACTTAACAGATTTCGGTTTGTCTTTATACAAACTTTGACTTTGTACGTGATTAGACTTGTTTAATTGCTAATTCTGTTTTAAATCTAAGTTAATTTCTCATTACCCTTCCATTTCTACTTCTTATCCTCTGGGGAAAAGAGCACACTTATCATTGGGACATTCTCACATCTTCCAAAGAAGCAGTGTAGGTGTTAATCTCCCGTTTACGTTTGATGTGGGTGCGATGGCTACGACTACAGCTTTGCATTTATTAATATGCACGGCTATCACCTCATTAGTTGCAAGGTACGTTTTGAAGTTAAGCTGTAATATTTGCTGAGATGTCTGATCTGGAATAAAAGACTTGTTCATTGTGTTTCCTTCGCTTTAATCCGTGCTCTGGTCACAAACCATCGTTTGCCACACTGCATTGCACAGCTTCTTCACAATGACTGTTCCTGGACCTCAGCTACCACCATCCTGGGATTCTGGACCTGTTACCCCACCTGAGCATCCTGCCCAGCCTGCCTGATACGTGACAGCAAGGAAGACTGAGTTCCATTTTTCCCTGTTTGCCTCTGATGCGTTAAAACCAGTAAAGAGCTGGAGCAGATTACCATGACAAACTGGTGTTTCCCTTGCGCTGCATTACATGCAGTGACTCTCTGGTAAGGCAGGAAAGCACACGTATGCATGTGTGCATTGAAACAGGCCCCTGGATAAACACTGTTGGACACTTCTGTGCATTCTGCATATTGTTCTCACCTCGGTGAACCCAGAAACAGACCAAGGCCAGAAAAATCTCAATTGTGATGGAAGAGCCATTTCTGCACTTTTCTTCAGACCACAGCGAGGATCATACGTAAGTTATTAAAAACTCAGAGCTGCTCTCTAGCAAGGCAATGAAAGCCACACACAGAAGGGAAAACTTGAGGAGCAAAAGTCAGGCTCAAGCTCTAAACTTACAACAGAAACATTACAGTGATAGTATTTCTGCTTGACCACAATGCTCCTCCAAATCATACTCCGCAGGTGGCCATAGCCATTAATGAAAAAGATTCAAGCAAAAGGAAAAAAAACCTAAACTCTAACCAGCTTTTCCTTTTCAGGTGCTGTAAAAGTGTGGCAAAGGACTGTGCTGCCCAGCCTGTGTGATACCCATCCACGGATGTTCCAGCTCCCTTTTCTGTTCTTCTCATTCTGACATTTGCTGTGGCATCTAGAATGGATGTCCCCTTGCCTGGAGTAGATGGAGCTGTTAAGCCAGTGTTTGGCAACAGGCAGGCTAATAGATCCAATGTTTAAACCAGCACCAGAAACTGCCTGCACCCAGCTGGCCACGGTCTCTGGGTTATTTCTGTTCTTTTAATCCAGGGACAGCCTAAGGTTAAATACAGGAGCAGCCAAAGCTTTGAGGTGGGGCAGAAACTCAATGCCTGGTGGTAATTAGGGTTTCCTATTAACTTCTTCTCAGGCACTGCAGAACTGGACACCCCCAGAGGAAACTGTCTTCCTCACCTATTTGGTTCCCAATCTGAACTGTTCTGCTTGTCTCCCTGCTTTACACTTCTCCTTCAATCACAACTGATGTCGGTTACTGCACGCTCCAACTGTGCACATGGGCTGAGAGAGCAGATGGGTTAAATTAAACAGTATTGTTAGTGACATTAGGAGCTGGAGCTGTTACTTTCAGACACTTTAGAAACATTATAAATGTAATGAGTTTCTCTTTTCCTTTTTTATTTGGGGACAAGAGTGGGGGGAAAAAGGGCTTCTTTGTTCTTTAAACAGCATTTTGCACTCTTTTTAGAGCACACATTTAAAAAAAAAACTCAATTTCAGCCCCATATATTATTTTTATAAATAAAATCAAGAGCAAGAAATAAATTTGGTTGTAAAAGGAATACAAGTTAGCTTCAGGAGCAGAACAGGCATCAAATGGCTGTTATGCCCAAGCAGGATTCTGTAATTATACACGACCACTGCAGGGGACAAACAGGTGACAATCTTAGAGGTGTGACACCCCATCAATACTGGTGGATGCCACGCAAGATTTCTGAAGCACAGAAGAAGAAAACTCAACACCCATCTTCTAGTTTCACAAGTCAAACATTTGGTGATCACTGGTGATTTTGAGAATTCCATTTGGCACCTGTCTGTAACCACAAGCATTTCAGTCTCCACAACATTCATTTCTCCCCTTAGGCTACTGAGAAGATGAAGGAAAATGAAGGAGAGCAGTGGTAAAAATATTCAATCAGTGAATCTGCAAGGCTAATGAATAAGATTCACTCTGTGTAGCCCCACTGCCATCAGATCAGATGTTAGTTTGGTCCGCTGCTTCTGTGGAAAGTGCTGTTAAAACAGGAGGGTGTTTCACCAAAAAACAGAAAATATCTGTTACTCACCTCTGTGCAAAATCTTTAGACTCCATAAATACGTAAGGCCTTTCACGACCTGAATTCAAGAAAAAGCAACAACACATATTAGAGACTTTTCCCCAACCTTCCACATTGTTTAATGCAAATGTTGAACATTTCTTCTTCAACTACACAAACCATCTTCTTTTTCTTACCATTCACTGGACCAAACACGAGCCTCACTGCACCCCACAGCCCCAGAGAACACAAGTGGGCCCCTGAAGGGAGAGGAGCAGCACAGTGCTCGGCTCTCCTCCCTTCCATCAGTGGAGCCGTTAGAATGAAACGTGAAAAGCTGTTTCTCCATTTCCACATCGGAGCATCAGGAGATGTGTTTTAATGGACATCTGTACTACGAAATGTTTCCCAAAACAACCACCCATGGCATTTCCATGGGCAGAACGTACCCATAGGCTGGGTACTGCAGGGTGCCCTCTCCGCAGGCTTTATTTCTGTCATGTCATAGAATTAGAAGATGTCACTAACTCCCGAACTTTAACACAATTTTGTTTCTCAGATTTCCGTTTTCCAGCAGCCCTGAGGATTCACCAGATCCAACCAACAATTCCTGCTTGCCTTTGCTTTTTACCCGCAGCACCTCTGCCCTGCCAACCAGCCCCTGCCACAGAGCAAACCCTTCCCACAAAGTTCCTATCCATGAAATGACATTCCATTCATTCTCCCAAGATGCTCCTCTTCATGCACCTCCACAGCAATAAAGCATTTCTGACACGTGTGAAGTCGCAGGAGTTCTTTCAGACCAAACAACCGCATTCTTTTTGCTGCCCAAGCAGGTTGAAATGAAATCATTTCTGTTAGAGTGATCAAGCAGAAGCGCAGCAGATATCATACAGTGTGAGAGCAGAGAGCACAGCAGTTTTCAGCCTTCCTATTGGATTAAAAACTTGTTTTAAAATTCATTCTGTAACCAAAAACTGAATCAATCCTGCAAGCCAAATAATGATCCTGGATCTCTGGCAAAAAGCTCTAGATGGCAATTCCTCAGCACTGTGCTCACGCCATTCGGCTATCTCGTGGCCTCAGATGGTAATTACCTGCAACAAAAGGCCTCAGTCCAATCCTGCATGCCCTGCGGTGTGGCCTTGCTCACTTTATCCTTTCAAAAAGCAGAACGGGGGAATTCTACTCACACAGCTTTTTGACATAAGGAGGAAAAAAGCACCGATGCAAAAAGGGTGTGCAACATTTCAGGTTTCCTCCAAAGGTGAAAGAGATTTTAAGTACATCAAGCTTCTCTGATTATTAAACATATGTTTAGACTATTTAACATCCCTGGAATAATCATAAAATTATTTAAAGTATGTATTCATAGAAAAAAGGGAAATATTCTGGAGGGGATGGGGAAATCAACAGCTGTGAGTTATTATACATCTCTGTAATGGAACATGCACTGAATAAGCAGTTATAAAGACACTACTAAACAAACTCACATTCAGACCCTCTCAATGCTGTGCAGAGGAATGAAAAGAGGGTTTTTTTCCTTCAAGTGAGGCTGCAAACACACACAGAAAAACCCCAAACGGGCCCTACTGCAAAGCACCGTTATTCACCCAACTTATGGCTGCCCATGCAAGGGAAGGGCTCTACATATCAAACATAATTCTAAAATGGTGCTGGAATCGAGTATCTTTTGATAGAACATCCAGCAGGAATTATTGGTATTCAGCAAAGTGGGTTTTACAACAATGAGTTGACAAAGCCTTGACACAAAAAGTACTTCCACCTGCTGTCAATCACTCACTCTCGTGACAGTTCAAGTGCACATCCTTTCAGGGAGAACTTCAATCAACATTAGCACTCAAAATACAGTGCACAATGTCACTGCTTCAGAAATTGAAGTGAAAATAAATGCATGAAGTGGCAAGCAAAGGTAGAAGAGATTTTACTGTTGGCACACCCAAATAAATACACGACACAAAAACAGGAGCCTGCACATTGCTTTGGGATTCCCAAGATATGCTTTTCCCATTTAAAAAACAAACAAACAAAAAAAGCCAACCAGCCCTCTGTGCAAATAAGGAGCACAAAAAGACAGATTTCCCCTGCATGCTGACACTGCCTCACTGAGACAGGCAGGATGGAGTCGGTGATGGAGTCAGACTGCTCTCCAGCATCCTGGGGAGCTGGGTCTGTTCTGCCCCTGTTGCTGTGCTATCCTGCCTCTGTAAACACAGAGCATCACCCCAAGCTCCAGCAATGCTTCCTCTATCCAGGCTCTCCTTGCATTATTTCCAGCATTCTGGCTGTCAGCTTCAGTACTCTCCCCCCAAAATAATAATTGAGAGAAGAGTATCACACTCGACAATAAATTCCTTCTGCTTCAGCCTGAAAGCTGACTGTCCACCACAATTAACATGATCACTTCTGCTGTGTGAATCAGATAACAAGAATGGGAAGCAGGCTGTGCTGTACCCACTGCATGTATGCTACATGGCACGTTCGTGTCCTCTAACAGACACCTGCGATGCACAGCACAAGTACTTACAGCAGCACTGCACAGAAATGAGGAGAAAGAAGGAACTGAACACTCCCTGGGCTATGGGAAGTTGGGGCTGTCACAGAAGGGATGTGTCCTGCTCAGCCCCAGCCTGTGCAGATCAGGAAGGACAGCAGAACAACCTTGGATAGGGCTCAGGATTCAGCTCAGGGGCACGGTGCTGGCTTTGCTGTGTTGAGCAGACATGGATCTCATCCTGGACCAGCTCGGTTCTGTGAGCAGGACAACTACTTTTAGGAGTGTCAGCCCAGTGCTTTTCATGGAGATTAAATTTATGTACCGAGAAAGGAAGCGGGAAAACTAACAAATCAGATAGGGGAATGCTGAGGCACTGCTACATGTCCTCTCACTGCTTTCCTTTGGAAATGGCTTAGCTTAGAAACTTCTACAAGTATAACAAAAAGGTACTCTAATTAACAGATGTGCAGGTCACACATATTATTAAGCAGCTCCAACAGACTAATGCACTGTGTGTGTCTCAGGAGAATGAAAGACAAATGACTCTGCGTACGTGGTGCAAAGAAAGGAAAAAGAAAATGCACAGACTGAAAGAAAAATAACGCAGAAGCTCCAGATTCTGTCCACAGAACCAAGCTCTAGCTTTTGTTTGACATTCTTGCCACCAGTATGTGAGCAGAAATCCTTTAGGCTCTGGGTAATCTTGACAACCTGTTCGGGGTGGGGATTGTGGTACACACACACTATGCTTGGCAAAAGGTGCCACAACCCAGGCGCCGGGCTGCTGGGCTCTGCTGAAATGTCAGGCACCAAGATGAAGGGCACTCATTTGTGACAACTTAACGGCGCCGTTCCCGCTGCTCCTGATAAATGATGGAGCAAACAACAGCTCTCAGTGCCTCCTTCCAACAAGTCTACTATGCCAATTGAGCAAGAATTCAGCACCAGAGCAGAGGGAGCTGCCAGTGCTGGTTCAGCCTCAGCGCACACCTTCTGTTACTGGGAAGCAGGAGGAAGGGGCGAGCTCCTCTTTGGAAGCACCTGCTCCTTTGTTCACCTCTTTGCTGACCCTCTGCACCACAGCAGCCACGGTATAGATTGCTAAAGCAGCAAATGAAATCGCTATGTAAAAAGCCAAGCATCAGCTCTCTGCCTGTGCTAGGGAGCCATGCTCACCAGCTACCTGGTTTGTAAAGAGATGACCCTGCAGCTGAACATGTAGGTACACACACACACACACAGTGTATTTACTGAAGACATAAAAGATGGGGCTGAAGCACCACTGCTATGGAAAAGTGAAGAACAGGAAGAGGACATCTGCAGAGCACCAGGCTGGGTGGGCTGGAGATGGGAGGGAGACAAAAATAATTAAAGAAATGATAAAGTACGTTAGCGTGGATGTATTAATTACACAGTATGAAGTGAGATAAGGAAAAGGATTTGAATAAATGCTCGAAGGCCCATCCAGCATTATTACACCATAATACACATGCTGCTCGGCATCAGCAATACGATACCATGAGCAACTCACCATACATTGCTCCATGGGGAAGAAAAGATGAAACGTTTTTACTCTGAACTAAAGGTGAAAAGCATTCAAATTCCATAAGAAACTGCTAGGCAATATAATGAGCAGATTTGAAGCTACTTAGAGGAAGCAGCATCAGAGAAGGATGTTCATCACTCTGGGCAGGCCACACAAATTAAGAGAAAGTAGAGCTGTGAATTACAATGAACAGAGACTAAATAGCTGCCTGTGTTGGATTAAAGGATTTAAATTGTCAGCTTGATGTATAATGAATGTGAAAACCCAGCACTTAATTAAATGGCACACGATAGAATAACTTTGTTATGCTTTAAACTGCTTAAGTTATCAAAGTATTCCTTATATTTAGCAATTGTTTAGCAGCATCTCTCCCTTGTGAAATCCACTAAGACAGTGGTCAATTACAGACTGTTCAGCCTTGGTTAAAAAAAAAACAACAGTTTTTTTTTTTTTCCTTTCTCTTTTTTTGTTTCATAATCTGCATTTTCAGTCACGGCTGGTGAATTTCTAGCAACACAAAATAACAGGATGCTACTGAGACACAACGGTGGCATACCAGGTGGTGCAAGGAGCCCACCATCAGCCCCTTGCTACCAAACAGGGGTTGATGGACCCAGGCACCTCCTTGCTCATCCCAAAACGGCAGCAGGGTGATCCCAGAGCAGCTCCCTGCTGCCTTATTGCCAAGACAGAAAGAAGACAGAAAATGCATTCTACCATTGCGCCCTGGTATCAGGAACTGGTGCCATTTTTCAACCCCAAATCAGTTTCCAACCAAATCTCATTGCGTTACTTGGTGCAGAGTGAGGATGGACAGAATGGAAATGGCACACACAGTCTGCAGAAGTGGCCAACGAGGGATCGATGCGAGGCTGAGGACAGGGCTGCAGAATTGATTTTTTAGGAAGCCACACAGCATAGGAAGACACACAAAGGTAAATTAAAGGAGGATAAGAGGACTGCTCCATCCCAGATATCAAGAAGCACAGCCACACAGATCTCCAGTAAAACGTGTTTTTTTCTCATCCCATTTGATTTATCACATCCTCTTACATTCCCTGTGCCTTCGGCAACATGAGCTCTGGACACACAATGGGATGGAAATTTCCTTCACTCCTCTTTGGCCCAGTAAAACCTTTACAGCTGCAAATGGGCTCCATCTGTGTGTGCCTATGATCGGAACTCCAGAGGCAGCAGAGCCCTCTGCCCTCAGACATGGGTAGCAGGAGTGACAAAGAGGATGGATCCTCCCTTCACATGGGGGCAATGAGGATGAGGCTTAAGGAGATAACTCAGTGTTCCCAAGGTGAATGGTGCACTCACATCAGGCTGTGTTACACACCCAACCAAAACCAGGCAGAGAAATAAACAAAGAAATACTTACAGCTACTGCTATTCTTCCCAGTACGTGCTCTGGAATTTTTCTATAAACATCCAAAGAACCCCCTGCAGGGACAAACAAAATGTGCTTAGGTAACACAAAATGAAATACTGCCCTAGATTTGAAGTCACAAGGGCTTTCTATGCCTTGGTTATTAATAAAAACACCATCAGTGATATAACAATAATTGTGTCAGAAATAACTGACCTTACCAAACTTTGAATAATCACGTGAAACAGCGTTCGGTTCTCTTTTCATCCACGTTACTTACTTTTTGTACGTAGCATTAATGCTGACACCTTTTGGAAAACCTCCCAGCCAGAGAGGACACAATACTGAAACTGGAGAACTCAAAACCTCTGTGTAGGTTCTCAGGGACTGACAAAGCCATGGTAACAAGCCAAAGTGGATTTCAAAGCCAGAAGTATTCTGCCTGCCTCCAAAACCTGGTGCCAGCATAATGCAGTGCAAAGCTTAAACCCATACTTAAAGTCAGCTTCTTTGTGTGATGATCAGAGCAGTGAGTTGGGCTGAGCCTTCCAAACTGCATCTGCACTGATATCTAAAACAAGAGGAACTCCTGGGCAAGCAAATAAGTTTTGTCAGAAAGCTCCAGTATGGGACACAATTTCTTACTTGGCACAGAAACATCCATCAGCATCAGACAGTTATGGAGAAAGCAAGAAATCTAAGTCATGGTCCTAAAGACATCCCCCAAAACTAAGGACTGTTTCTCTCATCTTCCACATAAAGACCAAACTAGCATTAAAAATGTCTCTGGGATGAAATACAAATTCTTGGCTAAGGGAGCAAATCTAAAATTGAGAATTAAAAAAATCCAAGTAGAATAGGGAGGAAAAAAAAAAAAAAGGACAAAAGGACAAGCAAATTACAGGCAGAATGTATTACACTTCGCTTGCAAGAATGCATAGGCTTATTCCAGGCTAAAGGTTCTCAGAAGTGCTTAGCACTGATCCAACTGCTCTCACTGTACCCTATGGATTGCACTGATGTCACCAATGGGAAAAGAGTTGGGCCAGGACTCAGCAGTTAGGAAAGCTGCACCTTGCACTTTGCTTATGGTTCCGTTTCTAGAAGTTAAACCCATTCATTCTTAAACACTGCAACATAAAGAAGTCACAAGGTCTTTATTCCAGCCTTTAGTCTTAACACTTTCTTATTCTAATGATCTTTTTTCCCTTTTTACAAGTAAATGTAGATAGTATAAACGGAATTAAGAGGCAGCAGCACCACACAGCTGCTGTTGATGATGAGAGCCAAACAGAAGGCCATGCTCAGCATTAACAGCAACCACCTGACCTTATGACTTATCCTTCTGTTCTGGATTAAAAGACCTGCTCTCATACACCAAGCTGCTAAATGCTGCTGTTACGGGTGTTGCTAAGGGTGGTGCAATATGACAAGTTTGCAAACAGCTGGGGAAATGTGCCACTTCTTTATGGAGAAAAAAATAACTGATAGTGAATAAACACCGTGGACCAAATTTCCAAACCCAAATCTTTGCACAGGTGCAGTCTGATAGCCTGCAAGTCCCACTGCTTCCATGGGGAGTTTAGCAGGTGCTCAGCACTTTAAAGGTAAAGAGGCAATGGCACAGGTAAAAGACAATGGTGCATTTCAGCACCTTCATTTACAAGAACATCAGCTCTATTGCAGACAGGAAGATCAGAAAGCCTCATTTCACATCTCCGCTGATCTTTACCATGCAGGTGGAAGGGGAATCCAGGTCAGTTCAGCCTCTTGTCTTCACCTGCATCCTCACCCATCCCAATCGAAGGCTTGGGAAAGGAAAATAATTGGCAAGGTCCCTTTATTTGCATTTTGTTCTTCCTTTAAATGATTGCTGCTGCTTTCTGCCAGAAGGGGTGCACAACATGAGGCAGATCAGAGGTCATCTCCAGTATAATTCCAAATAATTTCTGCGTGGTCAGTAAACACCGCCATCGTGCAACATCACAAGGGATGCATGCCCTAAAGGCTTAAATATTTCCAAACAAGAATTCGGAACTGCAAGCATTTATGTCCATCATATTTAAGAGTCTCTGAATTAGCAGCACACACGCTCCAGGCAGACACATGCTTTGGCACGAGCAGCTGCTTTCTTCCTGCGTGTGATACTGCGTGCAAATCTTGCAGTTGCAAGAACAGAAAAGAGAAATGGTGAATGGTCACAGAGAACACCCACAGATTTGATTTGTAGGCTTTGGTGGATAAATATAATACTTTTTCATCAAGCCTTGCAAATAGGGAAAATCTAAGAGAACAGAATGTTTGCAAAGGGGACACAAGACCCACTGGAACAGAGGTTGTAAGTGCAAAGAGGGAAATAACAGTAGTAAGAGATCATTTTAACAGGAAGGAAACAAAATGCAGCATAAAACCCTACAGGGCCTTATCTGAGTTCCCCATCAGAAAGACAGAAACTGCTCAACAGTGCTTAATGGCACACATTTGGCTTGGGAATTTTTTTTTTCCTGTCAGACAGCTCTTCCTCTGTAGTAAATCATGGGCGAGATCCTCACTTCTTCATATACTGCTTAACCAAACCTTTGTGCACAGCCTGGGTAGGGCAGCAAACGCCGGCTGAGGGGGAAGGCCTGGAATAACACACACAGGAACACACAGCTGGGAGCAAAGCAGTGCTGCTGCACCACACACCAGGGCTGTGTCTGCCACGAGACGCTCTCAGGATTGGTACACAGAGGGCAGCAATGATTGCAAGCTGCCGTCAGCTGCGTGCTTCTACCTTTGGTGCAAGAATGCAACGTTCCAAAGCACATCTCCACAAGGATGCAGGGGCAAACTGCAGGGAAGGGGATGGGAGAGATGAGAGCACGCTCAGAAACAAACTTGGTGCAGCGCTGCTAAACAGCTGCGTTGGAAAATAATTCCTTGCTTTGCAATTAAGAACCGATTTCCACTGAAAACACACAGGACATTGGGTTAATAGATTTCTTTAAAAGAAAATCTGTTTTGGCTATCAAAACACTAAAAGTGAGGAACAGCTGTTTCGTCAGTGAGGACAGATTGTATGGAAGACTCAAATATCAAACCACAAATTAAGCCAGCATTTATTTCTCTTCTATTTACATTTTCAATAAAAGTAAGTGAAATTGCATTGAGGAAAATGCAGCACAGCACAGAACATAACACAAACCCCACACTAACCCGTTTAAAACAAAACTACCTGCAAAGTTCTCGATATTTTACTTGATATTTCAAAGTCATAACACTGCATCTTGCTCCATATTGGGAAAGAACATCTATCTTTACATGGTTTTTCATGTTTATATGCTTAGCAATTAGAAGCACACTAAATATATTTTAAAAAACCAACAAAACAACTCACCATCCATGAACTCTGTACACAAAGAGATTCTGTTTTCTACAAAAAAAGCCCCATAAAATCCTATGATATATGACGAGTCGCACTGGAAAAAGAAAGGCAAAAAGAAGCTTGTAACGTTTTCTGTAGGACGATGATAAGCAAGAGTAATTAAAATGAGTAAAAAAATCTGTACCTTATAGAGAATCTCCAACTCTGACATGATCTGTTTCTGGAGCTCTAGAGTTATATCCAAGGGTATGACCTAAAACACAAACATCAGACACACATTTAGCTCTGCCATGGAAGCGAAGGACTCGACACAAAAACAGAAGATGTGTATTAATGTGAGCAAAGGAATGGGAGCAATTGGTGGAAGGACTGCTTTAACAGTCACGGGCAACAAAAGGAAATGAAAGGACAGAAGTATTTGCTTTGAGAAGTTGGTTGCAAATAAACCAAGCTATGCAACCAATCTGATTCATGAAAAGTGGGGAGATTTGTGGGTTATTCATCTGACCAAGAGACGACCCAGGATTTGAAGTCGAGCCCAACACGCAATGAAAACAGCAGCTATGGTGGGTCTGTGGTCTGTGAACAGAGCCTGCAACTGACCCCTCCTGCTACAAACACATTTAAAAGTAAATTCTGGAACGCTGTGACCTTGATGAAGGTGCTGATTTTAAGCAAGGGCCAAACAGGCACTGCAGTATCAAAGGCAGATCTGAATATCTCAACAGTGCCCTACAGGGGTGTCCAGAGCCACCTCCTGCAGCCACTCTTACAGTTCCAGCTTTGCATTCACCCCTCTTTCTAACATAAATTTTCATCATTGTATATTCATTCTTTTTTTTATGAAACGTTAAAAAAAATTAAATATACAGAATAAATGCAGATGGCAGCAGATGGCACAGATGCTTCCAGGTAAGCATCACTAAAGCATTCCTCAAAATGACTACAAACAGCCCAGCTAAGCAGATCAAAGCAGCCATTCACTGCCAGGGTCATCTGCTCCCCCCATCCATGCCCTCACTTCTCATTGCTTCCAGGCTGACAGCAGGACCTTCCCAAACATGCTCACTGCAGAGCAACGATAACCCATAAACCATAACTCTGTTATGACCTCATTTCTTGAATCCTTTCACCGGAATTTTTAAGAGAACAGTAAATATTAAAAATAAGACCACAAAACTTTCTTCCACCTTCTCCAGAAGCCATCAGAGAAGACCAGTCCACCCTTGGCAGTACTGAGGAGCTGACTTTTAAAACCAATCTATTCCATGATTACAGGAGACTTGCAGACTTACTTCTCGAGTGCTACTATATAAATCAAAAGGACTCTGAATGCATTCAGCCTGGCTCGGTCTCCTACCATAGGATATTTCACAGCTACATATATTAAGCTCAAGGAAAACAAATTCAGTCCACTTGCAGAATTAACAGAGCAGGCTGCACATACTGCTGACAAAACCAAATGCGTGGAGAGCATTTCCAAGCACATCTTACAGTATTCTGTCTAACAAAAAAAACCCAATATCCTTCTATCAGGAGTTTGCTTTAGGGTTATTTATACAAGCTGTCACTAAACTAAATTGTAAGTGTAATACAGGGCTGCCGAGGAATGTTTAGCACACTTGTCTAGATCAATAATCATTTGCCAACAATATTCGCTTACATTTTTCCGGCGTGAAAAACCTAAAATAATTTGCTGGTATACCACCAGTTTTACTGAATACTAACAGAATTTAATCTGTCAACTGTATAAAACCAAATTTTATCTCACTGAATTCCACTCAGTGAGAGCTTTCCCAGGCTCATTCACCACCCCACATGACGACCGGTTAGCGTCATCAGCCTCAAACACATCACTGGGATGCAGCAAACCAAGACCTGGCATGAAGGAAGGTCTCTGGCTGATTGCATTAATCATAATTACACCCAGAACCTGCGCTCTAATAGTGATGCTAATTCGGAGGAGTGGAGCTCCCAGCTTATGGTGATGATACCAGAGAGTAGAGCCCTCCAGAAGCCCAGTCTGGAGGTGAACATCCCTGCAGAGTACACTGGGGAGTCCACTGCCTCCCCTTCTCCATGCAATTACATGTAAGTGTTTTATTCCACCCAAACACACGTGGTTTGCATGACTCACAAAAGCAGAGACATCCACCTGATGGTCAGAGGAATCTTAACTTATTTGCAGCACTGAAATGGGGGCAGAAAGAGGAAAAAAGTCCATGTAGCACTGCTTTAATCTACACTTGCAATCTTCACTGCCATTCTCTTTCTGCATCATTTCCGAGCACGTCTAGAAAATGAGAAAAGACTCCTCAAACCCACAACTACCGAGATAGAAGCCATAAATACGGATTTGGTTGCAACTCCCACCATCATAGCACAGGTAAGCAAATGAGATGCAATGCTAAGCAAGTCTCTAAAACAGCACCTTCAGAAATAACCCTTCAGCAAAAAAAGTGGTTTTCTCTGGATTACTGAGAGCAGAGGAGTGAAGCTGAGCTCAGACAGAACCCCTCGCTGCAGGAGGAGCTGGGCTGGATGGGCCCTAAGATGAGGGAACCCAGCACAGCCCCCATTCCAAGTGAAAAGGGTTAACTCCTGCAGGAGGAATACCTGAACATGTTTCCTCTGCTCTCCACTACACCTTCAGGACAAATAAGGATGAGTTGTCAAGTTAAATACGAGCAGTCAAGTGACTGAATTATAATTTACTCTGTGCTCAATTTAAATTAGTGTGAGGCTATTAAAATATACAGTATAAATACGGCAATTCATCACAAGCTGTCATGGATGACTTCATCTATTTGCTGGAGTGGCATACGTTCCACTAAAGGGAACGAGAGCAAAATCACAGGTCAAATAAAGCTGCTATTCTGTTTTAATTCACTTATTTAATCTGTGGCGACATAATTGTCTTTTACAGTATGTACAACTCCAAGGAAACTTGGGAGTATTGTAGTCAGTATACAAATGATTAATCAAATGGTCCATTTAAATGCTAGCTTAAGAGCAGGAGAAGCTAAAAGCAGTTGAAGATCAGCAATCAGCCCATGCACACCACATTTCTCCTTTGGATTTTTCCTCCTCACTAAGAAAAGGTTATGTTTGAAAATCTATGAAGTCTTTTGCACATTGCCTACCTGTAAAGGATATACAAACTACATAATGACAAAGATAGTGTTGGTCTATGATATAGATATTAGCATGATTTTGATCTATAATATAGATTTTAGCATCACTTCGTTTGCCTGTCCAATATATTTGCAAGATTAACCAACAGCTGACAGCATTTTGATCAACAGGTCTCCAGGCTGATGGCATGTCCTATCAGGTCTGTGCTGATCCTGGCACAGCTCTCCTCTTGTTGTTGCTGGCTGTGCTGAGCCATGGATGCAGTCACTAAGTTTATTAATAGAGCAAACCAGCACGATCACTGCCATAGCAGGTTTCCTGACCTGCAGCCCGCGAGCATCTTATTTTAACTATGAGAATACACACACGCTGCTGCAGTATCATCTCAAAAACACAACTGACAGTGATAGAACCACCACAGGCAGTACCTGCACGCAGAATTCCACTTCCCAAATCTTCACAATGCTAATTAACCAGGAGGACCAACCCAACCCTTGGACTCGAAGGGAAACAAGAAGGTGAAATTGCGGGGGAAAGGCTTTTTTTTTTTTGCCACAGGGAGGTGATTTCAATTAACCTTGCAAAGGTTGAACTCATTTCCCCTCCTGCCGGCACCATTTTGCTCCCGTTCCTCCACCTCCCTGCAGCTGCCTCCAGGGCAGCCCCAGCACAGCCCACAGTGGGCAGTGGGGGCACAGGGGGACAGCAGGGAAGCACAGCATCCAGGGGGAGAGCTTCCTCAGTTCTGCACTGGAATTTGCAATAAGAGTATCGCTGACAGTTGGATTTTCTGCACTTTTGTGCTTATTGCCATTGGGAGAACTGATAACAGATATCACTTGGAAAGACTTTTTCAAGTGATTTTTTACATTCCATGCAACCAGAAGTTATGTCAATTGCAATACCTGTATTTTCAACATGCAGAGAATGAGTTCAGACCTGGTGTAAGTGCTTGCTTTTACTGAACTCATGGCAAAGTTGAAAGCATTTCTTCCAGCACAGCAAAGGGCCTGATGTGATCCTCAAGAAAAAAGCAGCACCCAGGACTGACAGGACCTCCACAAGGGCTGACATCAATACTTTTTCTATAGCTTAATTGCATTAACAGTTCAACTCTAAGTCATGCAGAGGTTGGCAAACTGCAGTTGTTGTAGCATTACTGGTTTGCCACAGCTTTAACTGAACTTCAGAGAGCTCTGCTACTCACCTGACCAAACAATACCACCACAGCACACAGCTTTGCTGCTAAGAGCACAACAGGACAAATAGCTATAGGTAAATACACACATCCAGCTGTATAATAGGAACCGCAGGGGAGAGGAAGAACGTGACAATAAGTAAACCTGCTAAAGGCACAGAATCTCCCAGGAACACAGAGCACAATCCTTAAGAAAACAGACATTCTCTTCATTTAAAAACACCCCTGGGGACACCGTGGCATTAGCAGAGCTGCAGTGCTGACACTCAGTGACCTCTGCAGCCCCTTCTGTTACACCTGAGGTGAGCAGATCCCTCCTAGCTGTGCCCACACCTCATGCAGCCCTGGGCTGGGGGTACCCATGCAGTGCCAGGGCAGCTCTGCAGCCCCCTCAGGGTGAGAGTGGGACCACAGGAACTCTGTGCCCATCAGGATTGCTGTACTGCAACCTGCCTGCATAAACAATGGGGACTTGAATGCCACGAAGCAAACTGAGTGCTAAGGATCAGAGGGAAGGGATGGAAACCCAGGTCAAGAAAGAATGGAGTGAAAGAGAGAGAGAGAAAATTACGGTAATATCTTACCTTTACTGCCAGGATTTTTCCACTAGGGACGTGGTATGCCCTGCGTGAGGGAAAAAATTAAATAACTCAAGATGACATAAAATTCTTTTCATACATACGTGCAACATGTATACGCTAATTTCACAGAAAAACGACTAGGAGCCAATACTTTTCACTCTAAACCAATTCCCATAAAGCATTTCTCAAGACAGACAGTGATGAACACAATTGCTCTGCGGAACATACCTACAATGAAAGTGCTGAGTAGTTGTGTTTTGTTTGATATCTGCACGCTTTATATACAATCTGTACGTTGCAGACTCTGGCACAGCGTAACGGAAAGCTGGAATTGTGAATTTATTCACTTTCTCATTTTCTCTGAATGACCAACTGCAATATTGAGTTATTCAGACCCGTAACAACCAGCAGGGCTGGCTGCACACAGTGCTGAGGGCCTTTCCAGGGTTCAGACAGAGAGATGCACAGCTGCATCACCACACCGATGCGAAGTGTCCAACTCTTTACCAAAACCTAAAGACCTGCAGAGGATATGTGTGAAATGAACTTTCCATGTTCAGTTATTAGCAGTAGTGACTCACGTATTCCTAACCTAAGAGAAAGGTACAAGAAACAAAAAAAAAGTCTACTGAAAATCCAATGGAACTTTGCAGACAAGGAGAACTAATGAAGCTTCTCCCCATCACTGGCTTTCTTATCTCAGACCATTTGCACGGTGCCCTCAATCTGTGTCTTATCTGTGGCACTAACATGGAAAAATGACAAAATTTGAGCACTATGTCCCTCTAGCAATGATTACTGAGGAAAGAGCCTCACAGCCTTTTTCTACATACAAAGTCATACGTGGTACAGAGCACTGGGTCTCATTTATGACCCAGAGCGCTTCCAGAATTACCATTAATAGCTCAGAAACTTCTGAAAACTTCACCTGTGATTGGGAACTCCTGGATAAGCACTGATGGAACCGAGTGCCATCAGCTTGTAGGAACACACGTGGTTTATAAAGAGCATCAGAAATCAGCGTTACCAAATGTCAGCTTAAGCACAAACAGCAAAACCCCGGGCGGAGCTCTGAGAGCGGCGGCTGAGCGCATAATCGATGCATCACGGGGAGGAAACGAGCTCTGCTGCGACGACGGAGGAATCGACAGCAGCAAAACATGACGGACTTCAGATCAGCAGAAATGATAAGAAAATGAACAGGTTGAGATAGAGTGCTCAGCGTCTGTTGGCTTCATACGCGCTGCGCCGGGCAGTTTGGCAACTTAATTAGCTTGTCAAGAAAGCCGATCTTTTTTCCATAAGAGAGATCTCCTGTTTCCAAGTGAATTAAAAGGGAAGACTTGATTATTTAATTATGATGCACGCTAATTCATCCGTGGAAGTTTGGGTTAAATTTCCAGCAGAGGGCAGATACCTGGTTTGGTTTACAGAGCATTGACAGTACCAATTTAACATTTAATTATCACTGAGAATTGGATCACAAAGGAGATGCCATGCCCATGGGTACAGCGTGTCCGTTGGCTCTGCGAATGGCGTGCTACCTGGGAGGAAGGGAATTTGTTTACTCTGGGCTGATATGGCATCTCAATTGTCCTGACCTTCCCCAACACAATAACTGCAAAGTGATTAATGGAGTCTGAATGGGAGCTTTGGTTACACCAAAAGACAACCGTACACCTCTGTAGTGTTTTAATTAACAGCTAGCACTTCAAATTAGTCTGTAGTTGCTGCAGTAATTACCTGTTCCAATGAGTGTGTAGGGAAAACGCTTTTGTTAGATATTATGTAGAACCGTAAGTTGGAATTGATCATTTTGGTTATAGTTGGAACAGCTGAAACCTGAAGACTGAGCACTCATGTGGCTTCAGAAGGATAAAATATAAAATCCCTCAGAATAATGCACACAGCATGAAGAGAACCATACTTTTTTGTGCACACTGGGCCCATCAAAAGTCCTACAGATGTCTATTGTCTAATAAATTAACGTTCATACTCTATAAATAACATGAAGTCCCATCTCAAGGGTCAACTCTGCCTGATTTCAGTGTCACCTCCAGAGGTAAGTAAACAAGCTCGTCATTGTAGAGCCAGATCATTAGACAAAGCAAACCAGCACAATGCAGAGGTTTCCCAGCAGTGCTGCACATCTCAGTGAACACACTTGAAATCTTCAGGATGGAAGGCAAATGATGTCACCTAACAAGCAGCTACAACAACTCCACTCGCTAGGAATGAGCAGTGCCTAACAGCCAAGAGAAGTGGGAGATAGAGACGAGGGAAAACAGTTGCTAAATTGTTGCTGAATTACTTCAAGGCAAAAATGAAGAGCAGACATAAAATGCATTGAATGCTTTGCAAACTATTGGTTCCTCATGTTTGGAAGTATGTTTCAGTCGGTGTCCATTACAGAACTGGGACAAAAACTGCATGTGATTGAGGAAACCGAGTTAGTATTGCCAAGTGAGAGAAGGGATGGGCAACATGGTGGAAAGGAGGAAATGCAGCTGCATCCCTATATATGTTAGGAGGAGCTGGTGCAGCGACTAAGCTGTGAGATTGCTGTTTCACTAAGAGTGAATTTTTCAAAACTCAGCCCAATAATTTCAGGTTGGATATTAGGGAAAGTGTCTTCTTAAAAAAAGTGGTTGGGCACTGGCACAGGCTGCCCAGGGAGGGGGGGGTCACCATCCCTGGAGGTGATCCGGAATTGTGGGGATGTGGCACTGAGGGTCAGTGGACACAGTGGGGTGGGATGGGGTTGAACTTGAGGATCTTTTCCAACCTTCATGATTCTACGAGTCCAATTCCTTCAAAATTCCCTCCTGCTCCATTACAACAACATCTCCTAAGCAAGACTGGCACAGCTGTACCAAACATTTTACTAACCATGAATGTTAACTGCATCCCTCAGCATTCAAAGCCTTGTAAGGACTCATGCAAGCTGAGTCCTTTAGCACAACTTGGTCTCCACTACTCCAAAAAAATGAAGAGTTGCCCTCAGGGAGCTCAGCCGTAGGGGAAAAGTTGTGGGGAAAGGAGAGAGATGGTGTGAGCACCCACAAACTCCTCTTGAGCCAGCAAAACCCTTCAGAAAAAAGAAACTTGTGATGTTCTGCATGGTACAGCCCGTGCATCCCCCGTGCTCCATAAAACAAAAATCAATGCTGTGCAAAACTAGAGTAGGGCTTTGGGGGAACTGCCAGCTCCCCTGCATCTCTCCCCTCCTTGGAAGGAGGATTTCTGTAGGAAAGCAAATTAAAAAATGAAAGCGTCAGGAGCAGCTGCTGTTTTTAAAGAAGAAAGGGGGAAAAAAACAGGAGTAGCTGAATTTCATATTGCTTGCTTTGTTCTTCCTGAAATATATGGCAAAGAAAGCCAAAGGAGATCGTAAGATGCTTTGGCTCCATCTTCTTTATGAAATAAATCACAGCCTCTCCTCACGTTAACGCTGAAAGATTCACACACCAAATAGAGATAGCCTATAAAAGCGCTGCAGAAACTCACTACACTTCAAAAGTAAAACAAACCCACCAAACAGAACATGCACGGGCTTCTTTATGAATGGCAAACAAAAACCAGCACCCCACAAACCTCCTAAGACAAACAATGTGCCATTCTTCCCACAAGGAGTTTTACCTAAAAGCTGCATTCCTTGCTGTGACTGTGGCAGGATTTCTCTCAGGGCAAAGAACTGACTTCAGCTTTCAGCACTGCACGCACTCGAGACAAACAGCAATTTTCAATTTGCTTTCTCACTTTGAATTGCAAAGCATTCGCCCACATCTGTGTGACATCAGGACAGCCACCTCGGAAGCGCAGACTGATGACACAAAGATCCTTCAGCTCCTTCCATCAGCTTGTCCTAAAACATGCATTTTTTCCCAACTTCACTCATGCAGTGTTATCTAGAAACTCAGAACAAATACAGCCTCTCCCTAGAAGCAAAAATGGTACTAATTATTGCATCGTGATGCAAAACAGCACTGCAGAAGCCCTCAGCAGCCCACCACTCAGCCCTGCTCTCCCCATCTGCTCATGTGGCCACCAGGATATATTTTCCTATTTTTCTCCCCAGTAGCCACGGAAGCAATCTCTAATCAATAAGATACTCCTTACCAAGACCAAATGATTCAAGGGGAAGCCATGACCTGTCTGCTACGCCAATGAGTCAGTCCCTTCCCTTCCTAGAAATATAACTAACATCAGCAAATATGACAAAATGATGTACTGACAGCACTGCCATGTTAGTGATGTGAGGGCAGGAAGCTGGGAAGCAGCGCTCCCCTCCAGTCAAAGCACAAAGAAACTTATAGCTCATGCCACAACATAGAGCTGCTCTTGTCCTACTGCCCCACAAAAACCAGCAGTGTGCCCCTTACCATCCTGCTACACACTGCTTTCACGTGCACACTGCTTCCTGCAGAAGTGCTGGGTGCTGCACGCTGCCTGTGCTGATGTCTTGAGGATGGAGATGTCCTGCCTTTCTCATGCCTTGCTCTGTTGTCTTCGGGACAAAGCCTCAGGCATTCTCACCCAGAAATGACCACGCAGAGAGAAGCCCTTATTTGAGCTAAAAAGTTAACATAGAAAGTGATGGCTGTTGACAAGCAGCACCTTCAGATGTAGGGAGGCAGACCAATGCTCTCCTGCCCTGTGAGAAATAACCTAGAGCAAAATCCCTGTGTCAGAGTCACACGAGATGAATGCGCTTCTCTAAGTGTTATGTGCTGCAGAATGACATGCCAGCCACCAGCTGCAAACTATACGCAGCAAATCACCCACAGATTTGGTTTACTGTTAATTTTTCCTTTTTTCCCCTCCATTTTCCTAGCATTGTCACTGTCTGTAGTGCTCCTGGTCAGGCCCTGGCAGACTAATGATGGGATTGTCACGTACTCAATGGCCATCTAAAGAAACAGATTCAAATTGTTTCTAGGAAATAAACACTCTGACAGTTGTTGCCTTCTGCAATAGACAAACACATTAGCCTGACTCTCTGGCTGTTAAAACAGGAAATCCAAAGTGCACAACAGTTGTAAA